TCCTATTTGTCCTAAATCCTACCTCTATGATGTTAATGAGGCAGGATTAGAGGCAATTATGTTAATAAGGCAGGACTCAATCTACAAGATTAGATTGTATTTTGAGTCAATCCCTTTCAAGATATAAGAGAGAAGCAAGCAGAGAGACATGGGGACATCACTACCACCAAGCAAGAAAAGCCAGGAGAAAAGCATTTCCTTTGGACCTGAGGTCCCTTTGCTGAGAAGCTTCCAGACTGGGGAGAAGATTGATGACAAGGACCTTCCCCCAGAGCCAAAAGAGAGAAAGAGAAAGCCTGCCTTGGAGCTAGGGCACTGTATTTGGACTTCTAGCCTCCTAGACTGTGAGAGAATAAATTTCTCTTTGTTAAAATAATCCACTTGTGCAGCACCAGATGACTAAGACAGGCGATATGGACAAATTTCTCCAGATATATAATTTACGATAACTAACCCAAGAAGTGGAAAGTTGACACAGTCCTATGATTTAGTCAAAATAAATAACTGCCAACTACAATGGAAAAATCTCCAAATCTCAGTGGCGATACACAACGACCCCCCATGCACCTGTCAGTTTGTCGTACTGTGGGGGCTTGCGTTTTGCTGTGATGCTGGAAGCTGTGCCACTGGTATTCAAATACCAGCAGGGTCACTCATGGCAGACCGGTTTCAGCTGAGCTCCAGACTAAGACACTAGAAGAAGGAGCTGGCAGTCTACTTCTGAAAAGAATTAGCCAGTGAAAACCTTATGAATAGACGTGGAGCATCGTCTGACATAGTGCCGGAAGATGGGCCCCTCATGTTGGAAGGCACTCAGAATATGACTGGGGAAGAGCTGCTTCCTCAAAGTAGAGTCGACCTTAATTACGTGGATGGAGTCAAGCTTTCAGGACCTTCATTTGCTGAGGTGGCATGACTCAAAATGAGAAGAAACAGCTGCAAACATCCATTAATAATCAGAACATGGAATGTACACCTCATATGCATGTGAAAGCTGGACAATGAACAGGGAAGACTGAAGAAGAATCGATACCTTTGAATTATAGTGTTGGCGAAGAATATTGACTATACTATGGACTGCAGTTAAGAATGAACAAATCTGTCTTGGAAGAAGTACAGCCAGATTGCTCCTTAGAAGCAAGGATTGCACATACTTTGGACATGTTATCAGGAGGGACCAGTCCCTGGAGAAGGACATCATGTTTGGTAAAGCAGAGGGTCAGTGAAAAAGAGGAAGACCCTCAACGAGATGATTGACACAGTGGCTGCAACCATGGGCTCAAGCATAGCAACGATGGTGAGGATGGC